TGGAACAGCTAAAACATGTCCTGTTCTCGTCCTTCCCCACAACCCAAACCCAACGGCTTTGCATAACAGATGAGAATCTGAGAAGGGTGTAGACAAAGTGCCGTGTCCCACCAGCTTCTCAGCAGGCACCAGGGAACCCATGGCCCAACCTAAGCCAGGACCTGCAGTCGTAGGATGCTGTCCTGTTGCATCCCACAAGTTTGGGGCCTATAGGAAAGGGGGGGACAATCTTTTTAGCAGGAACAGCTGTGTCAGGACAAGGGGTGATGGTTTTAAACTGAAGCAGGGGAGGTTTAGACTGGATCTAAGAAAGAAATTCTTTCCAGTGAGGGTGGTGAAACCCTGGCAGGGGTTGCCCAGAGAGGGGGTGGAGGCCCCATCCCTGGGAACATTCCAGGCCAGGTTGGACGGGGCTGTGAGCAACCTGATGTGGTTCAAGGTGTCCCTGCTCCTGCAGGGGGGTTGGGCTGGGTGACCTCTGGAGGTCCCTTCCAACCCAAAACGTTCTAGGATTCTAAGTTCCAAGCCAACTTTACTCACTGCCCAGCAGGTAGATGCGATTTGCCAGGAGATCCAGTGTCAGGCATACGAGCCACTGAACTATAACCGGCAACAAGCTTGCTCCACAGCATTTAGCTTTAATAGCCACGATAATCCTGTTCTGGAGTACTGCTGTGACCTAACTCACTCCCTTTACACTTGGCAGCCGTACGTGCTGCTGCAGACCCCCATCCACCCAGCAGCCCCACACGTGGGGGCTCGTAGCAAACCTGCCCTCGGAAAGCAGCGCTTCCACGAGCGCACCCACCCCGCAGCGCTGGGCAGCGCCCGAGGAACTCGGCGTGAAATCCTAACGCAGCCGGGCGGCGGAGAGCGGGTTCCACGTGGAGATTACAGATATCGGGATACCAGCGAGCCCCTCTTGTTCTAAAGCGAACACATAATCTGGTGTTGTAGCAAACAGGATGTGGTAAAAAGAAAATTAGCTGAAGGTGGTTACGCACTCCGCTTCGAGACAGGCTGTACTTCCCCATGCCGCTTCTGCTGTGGAGGAAGCAGCTTCTGCAGGAACAGCCGGCCGGCGGGCCAGCAAGCGCTGCCAGAGCATTTTTCTGGGTGGCTCTGTTATCTTCGTGTCCTCTGACTCATTAGGCGATTCTTAGAGAGTTCAGGATCATTCTGGAGCATCGCTCCGGCAAACAGTCACGCCGCCATCAAGAGATGAGAGCAGCCGGCTCGCCCGCACGAAGAAAAAAGATGTAAATAGAGGACAGACACTTGTTTATGCAAATCTTCCCAAGTCTCCAGGCCACTTTCATCCCCGAAAGGGCTCCTGCCACGCTGCACGCCGACACGAGCTTCCTGCTCTTATTTTGATCCCAAAGGGCAGAGCAAAGGTTTTGGTTTCCAAGCCCAAGCCCCCCATGCGATCCCCTGCAGTTGCACGCCTGGAGGAGGTGGCAGGGAGGGCATCTCGGCCAATCTTTTACAGCAGGACCTGGAAAGCACTGATCCTAAAAGGATTTAAGGGCTCTTAAGGATAAACACATGCAGCTGGTAAGACAAGCACCATAATTAGACATAACCACATGAAAACATCCAACAGGAACGACGCCATATAGGACATCAGAAAGACTTTTATCAGACAACTGATAAAGCCCTGGTTTTTACATTTAGAGGAAGGATACCAAAAAACAGGGAAAAAAAAGAAAAGCAATGACCTGGAGCTGTAAGAAAGAATCGTGGTTGGAAAAAAAAGCTTAACAGTCCTCATCGACATCGCTTGCCAAAGGGAAAAATAGGTAGCTTGATGAAATTTTATAATTACTGGATAGGGAGAAGGCACTGTATACCAGGCAGCTCTGTCACTGAGCAAATGAAGGCAGAGGAAGAGCCAGCAGCAAGGGGATGAGGCAGCGGAATTACAGCGTTAAACCCCTCCGAGCAGGAGCTGCCTCCCGCGGGGCGTCCGCCCCGACCCGCAGGCGCAGCCTCAGCTCCGGCCTCTCCCCGTCCCCGCCATGCAACGCAATAGCAACAAGAGTAAAAAGGTGATTAGACTTTTAATTACCTCACCGTATTTATTTCCACAGCCTTTCGCATAATGCTTGCCTAAAATTGAAGGTACTTTACCACAAGCAATTACGCTAATGTCTGGAAACAGAACTCATTTAATGGCAAAGAACAAGCTAGAAAACGCAATAAAATTTAAATGAACAACCACAGTAGGGAAATACAATGTTCTCCAGTGCAATGCAAAGTCTTCTGTTAAAAAAAAAAAAAAAAAAAAAAAAAAAAAAAGTCATGTTTATCTTTCATCTTTTTTTCTTCTATTCTAAATCCTTCCTCAGAAGAAACCAGCTTCAGAAGTAACCGAAACTCCAGCAGTGGTCACGGAAGACCCCGCTTCCAGGTAACAGAGGGCAAGTCCTGCTATGACTGTACCAAGGAGGGAGGAGGAAGAAACCTCTCTGCACATCTGCAAGCCGTGCACCTCGAGATCTGGGAGAGCAACAAGGATGTTAATGAAACTCTGGGCTGTAAAGTTCCAGGTTCGATGGGGAAAAAAGGTAAAATCCTCCCAAGGTTACAGTTACCCAACTATAACTGCTCTAACTTACCAAAATATTCTTTGCTGTCCTTTGGAACCAACTATTAAGGAAAAGTATTCAGCTACATAAATAGAAGTATCCATTGCATACAAGCTGTTCTGTTTGACTTTTTCAAGGAGGGAAAAAAAGAAAGGAAAAACAAAAACAACAACAAAAAAGACTTCTTCATTTCATTACCACCAAACAGAACCAAGCAGTTAAAGGTCAGCCTGTGCTTGGTTGCTTAAAATTCCACTTACTTTGCAACGGCCATGCTACAGCAAAATATTAATGATTCAGCACAGCCATCTAAACTGAAAGGCAGACTGAGGGATGTCAGCACAAGCAAGCAAGGTACCTATGCATTTACAGTGTCCAATGTTTGGCCAGAATGAAGAGTTACAGTTTCTATGCACAAAGATACAGACTACACCTCAATCACCACAATGCAACGGGAAGCTCCACGAGATGCCTGTGAACGCGTACTTTAGCCTGATGTTTCCACAACCCTCTTCGTTTAAAGCTATGAAACCCATTCGTGACCATCTGTGATACAAGAATACTTATTTTCATCTGCCGATACTTCAAGCTCTCCCTCCAGAACACTCCGACACCTCCTGAGCTGCGCGTTTCCAGGTGGTCAGGAAGGCTGGAGATTCCTGCTCCCAACGGGAAGGAGACCAGCTGGAGCTCAACCAGCCCAGGGATGCCCCTGCTGCACCACCCTCCCTGGCAAACAAGGCGCAGCGGCACTTTGTCCTTGGGCTTTTGCTTCCACTGTTAATTACAGTCTCAGCGTATTTCGGATAGGAATGGATCCATTGGTCTCCTTGGGCATGCCCGGCCGGTTTTACGGTTTTGTCCCCGTTTTGCAAGGCAAGAGCAGCTGTACTACCCTGGCAGACGTATGCCAACCCCCTCCTCAGATCTACTGGGCAATGATTTCGCAAGCCCCTCAAGAAATCCATTCCCCCGCTTTTCTACCCATCCTGCTACTAAAATGGTTCCATTCATACCCAGGCTTTCTTTCAATTCGCACGTTAAGCCTCTGCAAAATGGACTGACCTCATCACTTCCGCAACAACTTCTCTGGTTTTGAAGACTGTTCAACCTCACTTCTCTCTTTCACAGCCTTTACCTAACACCCTGTTTCAATATTTCCTTGTAGGTCGTATTTAGCAGCCCGCTAAGTGAGCTCGGCTCATTCCCACTGCTCCTTCCTGGACTCTTCCCAGCAGGCCCGTGTATATTTTGTAGCCCAGCGCCAGGATGGACTCACTATTCTGCCAAAAGGGGATTACTTCACACGCCTCCCTGGCTACAATCCTGATCTCGTATTTAGTCGCGTGATCTAGCTGAGACAACACAACCTACGGCTGACTGTAACAGCCAAGTCAATTAAAAACGTCTCCCCGATCAGCGCTTCTCCCCCCCGTATTGGTGCAATTACCCCAGCAGAGGTGTAGAGGACACTGCTTGTTCCGACCCAGGAGCACTGCGTTTCTTCCCCTCCCCTAGTTTACGGAGATCTGCTGTAGTTCTGTCCTTGTCCTCGGTGCGGTCACAACCTTTCTCAGCTCGCAAGCAGGGCACGGAGGTTCTCCACCCCTGCATTCACACCGTCGACTAAAACGCCGCGCG